CGGGTGAGTTCTTCAAGTTGTTGTCCGTGCAAATCGCACCCTCAATTTCTTAAACGAGCAATCATTTTCTCGAGTGTTGACGCGATCTGTCGTCAGTCACGATATTTATTTGTATGTTTTTTTTTTTTTTGAAAGCCGTAGCCGTACTTTCGGTTGGGAAGTGAATCTGGACTTCTTCAAGTTGGAAGGTTAGGTAGTACTTCGTATGCCACAAAGAACGGTAGTGAAATTTGGTTTGTCCAAACGGCTTGGACAGAAAAAAACAGTTTCCTTGTTGCGTTGGATGGAAATGCAGCGGCCATTTTCGGTGTCATTACGCAGTGCACGTTAAGGGCGAGAGCGCACCCCATTCTCTCCAAATTGCATGGGTTGTAATCTTGTATTACTTTTGGTTAAGACTGGGCTGTGTGGATGTTGGTCTCAACCATGCGGTTTTGCACCCGCAATTTAGAGCACTAACCTTTACTCTCCGTTTTTTCTTTTGTTTTTGTAGACTGACTGGTGGTTCTTCCGTGGTGTTTTCCGCAGAGAGGCAATCAAAGAAATTTTCACTCTGACGTGATTCCACTCTTGTTGAGTCGAGTGGCGAAAAAAAAATGACGACAATGACGTTTCTGCCGAAACCTCTTCCTGCACGTTTAAACTACGGGTGCAGGTTGTTGCTGCTTTCCGTTGTTCTCGCCTTGATAATGCCCTTCTCCTATCGTCTTGCTCTTCTTCATCGCCTTGCATGTACACCACATAGCCGGGACCCAACACAAACCAGACCCAAAGTATTACATTCTGAAATGGAAGGCACTTGAATCCGAACAATACCTGAATCTTGCTTGACGTCAAACACAACTTCTGATACAAAGCGCCAGATCAACAAAGTGGCGCACCACCGTCACATGGCTACCTCCAAATGCCATACAGAACACGGTTTCCGCAGTCGAGAACATGTTCCGTTAGGGAACAGAGGGTCAAATTTTTTACGAGAATTTCACGAAAATTCAAAAAAACAGGTTCAACATACAAGCTCAGCGAGCGTTGGATCCTACACTACACTCAAAACAACATCATGCTCGGCAGAAAATAGTGCGACGAAATAAGAACCTGAGCCTCGACCCGACGTTTCTGGTGTCCGGGCCTGTTCTGTAACGAGCCACAGCTGCCTCGACGGCCACGTACGCAATAAGACCAATCGAGAAGTCCTCCAAATTGCAGCAAAATGGACACAGGGCAAGAAGAAACACGAAACCCCGAGCTCTCCGGGAAAAACGCAACATTGACCCGAAATGCTTTAGACACCAATACCCGAAGGCATACGAACAAACAAGAATGTTCACATTCATCTAAAGACAAATAGTGTGGTCCACAGCACCTAGACAACAAGATGGATATATAGATACATCCAAACTAAATGTGGTCATCCACCAAGAACAAGCGAGACGGCGATGCAGCTTCAGATGAACACATGAGGCCGACTCAATCAAACGTACAAATTGTACAGAGCGAAACTTATCCGTTCTGCAGCCACCCTGCGCTCATTCATTGGGACCTAGAGCAAGGCAAAAACAACAAAAATGTACAGCAGTATCGACAAGATTATTGTTCGTCCCACCCCCCGAAACTATTATCGCGTTCAATCTGGACAGGCACCATGGCAAAGGTTTGGACACCTCTCGCAAACAACCAAAACCAAAATCTTCCCCCCCAGTCTTGGGGGGAAAATCGAAAAGGAGAGAAGGTACATACACACAAGACTACTCATTCGTCTGTTTCTTCTTGAGAACAGAAACAACAACCCCTATATTTCCACCTAATTGTTTCCAAACGTTGCTAGCACCGATTGAAAGACATACATGTACCGACGTGCAATCACGAACAACAACGGTCGACACACAAATCACGTGTCGCGAAGCTCAATGTGAAAACTACAGCTGAGGCCACCTGGAATTGCCTCGACGCGAAAAGAATCTTGCTGCGTGCAACTTCCAGTGAGAGGTACCTCGCCAAGAAGCGCTTATTACAAGATGGGTAGGGGAGGATGATATGCTGAGAAAAATGATGCGCAGGCCAAACGTAATTTTGTGCCACCACCAACCACTTCTATTACTATTTCAGTCGCGTCTTGATGTGTAACTCGAGCTCCACCGGAGGGCTGCTCGAAGCCGCGGCCCGCTTCAGCGCCAACAGCTCCACGTCGCTGTCGCGGTAGTACGGCGCCGTCGCCCTAACGAGCAGCTTCTCCAGGCGCGGCACGTGGCCCCCTTCCAGGGCGCCTGCCAGGACCCTCAGCTGGCGGTGAGGCGTGCGGCTGCAGTCCATGCGTAGCTCCCGCAAGCGAGGGCAGACCCACAACGCCTCCTCCAGGTATCCGATGCTATGCTCCGGGCAGAAACGGTTTCCCGTGAAGCTGAGGGATTCCACGAGGGGGCACTTCCCCCAGGACAGCGCGCCGAGGATGACGTCATCGATCGAGGTCTCCCTGATGCTTGACTGGTCGTCCCACCCCAGCACGCGCAGCCTTGGGGCCAGCCCAGAGCGGAGCCCGCGCGCCAGGTCGCGCAAGTGGCCCGCGTTCGCCCGGCAGTGCGAGAAGGTGAGTAGTTCCAGGGCCGACCACAGACCGGCCGCCACCGCCCTGCCGGCCTTTGCGACGCCCGTGGCGTCATCCACCAGGTGTACCCGAGAGAGCCGCGGGGCCACGCGGTGGCGCTTTGCGGAGGGGGGCACGGCCTCCCCGAGGATGGCACTTACCCTGGAACGAACGCACACAACGTGCAGGCGTGCACGTAGTATGTGCGAAGGCACAAGCATATGCGAAAAGAGAATGGGGGGGTGGACGGAGCAGGATGAACCGAAGAGAGAGAAATAGGTGAACTTGAGCGACAAGTTTTGGGAGCAACATGTGCGTGGGCCACACCACAAACAAACGCGAATAGAGGATTGGAGGGGTGTACGAGAGAGAGAGGAGACACAGAGAAAGAGAGAGAAAGAGAGAGAGAGAGACAGAGAGAGAGACATGAATCTAAGCGACGCGTCTTTTGCCTGGTTGTGTGCGCCTTTATCACGGCAGGCATACCTGGCGCGTCCGTTCCATGTAGGGAACCCGCGGATGGTGATCTCGCGCAGGGTAGGAATTGAATGCCGCACAACCCTCCCGACGGCCTGTTCCAGAGCTTTGTACCGGGCCTGCAAAGCAAAAGTAGCGTGTTTGTGGGGAGTGAGGGTGTGGGTCCTCAAATATGGAGTGTCGTGAGTTTGAGACGTCGCCGTCGCTGGGTTGCTATGTAGACCACTGCATGATGTAGCCAAAGCGGCTGGTAAAACTACCGACGACGTGTATGAGCACTGTCAGTGTCTCTTCTTGTGCAACACAACAAGTGGATGGATATCGATGTGGCAACGTCCAACAAAAAGCCATCACCAATGTTTTGTACACCGTAGCGGGGGACAATGCATACAACAAGTACATCTCAAAAGTGGCTTCTACTAACTATGCATACGTGGACACTTCGCGGGCTTGAAGTCAATCTGTTCCATGGGACCAAAGAGTCCCCGCCCAGCCGCCAGCGGAGTAATCCTACTGGCTCCGCGAACTACACACCTCTCTCGAATAGTAAGTAAGCTGCGAAGCACATAATTTGTGCCTACCACACAGATTCCGCTGCCCTCGATACTTCGAAAGGGAGGGCATTATTATTGCCTTGTTTACTGATGTTCAAGACATGGTACTACAGTAATCACGTGCACCCCACGCCCCACGAGCCAATTTCGCAGGAGGAACGAAGCACAATGACATACATGGTGGCGGCTTTCGTTTGCCGATTCGACCACGGTAGTGATCGTGATTCGGACGACAGCCCTGCCAGTTGCCAAAGCTCCAGAAGCCTCAAGTCCCATGTGGTTTGCTAGATCCGCTCCCGCAGGTTCTGCGCCGGGGCAACGAAAAGCATAATTGGCCATATCGACTTTGTAGTGCAGCTCGCGGATGGCTACCAGAGCTGCCCTACAGACGCCGCTGAGGGAGCTTTCGGTTGTGAAGGAGACAATCTCCCTGAGGACAACGTCCGGCAGTACGCCAAGGTGGCGTCCTTCTGCTGCAGCGGCGGGCGAAGATGATTATGATGATGGGGCTGCCTCGGCTACGGTTTGCGTGCAGCAGTGCCTGCTGCCGTAGGTGGTGGTGGTACCATCGCTGAGGCGAATCTTCTTGTCGGCGGGGAGCGAAGAAAGAATGTCGAGACCCCGTGTGTGTGGCAACGAGGCGGAGTCCATGTTGTTTCCTGGTACCAGCCGGCAAATTCGAAGCAAGCAAGAGCGACAGGCAGCAAACACGCATCATATGTGAGACTGCGACGCTTCTGGCTCCCATCGACAATGAGGTTCTCTAAAGTCTTGCTGCGGAGGATCAATGTTTTGTCCTAGCAGACCCGGGTCCCTGAAACGAAGTATCACTTGCCAACCAGTACCACTGCTCCAGGATTCGTAGCGGAAACTACTGTACCGCCGTTGGCTCAGGAACCAACAGCCAAATTAGCCCTGTGTCAAGAGAGGATTCGAGAATTCAAACATGTGGCAACCAACCCAATCGCTGTCGGTGTGCTGACCTTGATGCATGGCTTTCCCTGCGGTAGGTTGGACTTTAGACGGTACTTCTTCCCTGTAGCGGACGCGGAGGAGATAAGTTGTGTGCAGGGGTGTGAGTGCGTACATGTAAGACAGAGGTGAAGGAAGCATTATCGCTTTTTCGCGAATTTGCGCGAATTCGCTGCAAATCTCGCCGCATTTTTCGGTTCTCCTGACATGTGGTTCGAATTTCGAACTCCCGCACATGGCACATGTGGTGTGGCGCACGCCTTCGGCGTGGCGTTGCGGCAACCTGCGGTTGCCGCACATTAGGCCCGCGACCTATCTGGAACGCTGGAGTGGCGACCGGGACATCGGTTGTGGCGCGCCGCTTGAGGGTTCGAGTGCCTTTTCGGCAGGACCGTAATTATCGCCGCACTTTTCGGTTCTCTTACCCTTGCCCGTCGCCCCCTCTGCTCGTTGCCCCTCACCAGCACCCACACGAACACGACACGCAGCACGACCATCTCTGAAACAACCGCACATATTTTCGAAGTCTACACGGCTAGGAGCTCCGCTTGACGAGAGCGAGGCAGCATCGACGGGAACCACATGTCTTCTCAAAACCGCTCCAAAATGGGCCAGGCCTTCGCCAAGATGACCACAGCTTGTCCTCAGCAGGTCTGTTCTTCTGTGTGCGCTGCGCTTGGACGAAGCGTGGATGTCAAAACCCTCAGTCTTCCTCTCGAGAAGAGAAATAGAAAGGAATGGTGGATGAGCGGCGTAATCCTCTGTGTTGCTTCAATGCACATAGGAGCGATCCTGTTGTTCCTTGCTTTGCCTGTTGTTTCTGGCGCTCCCTGTACTGCTGTGAGTGGAAATAAACAACCGTAGGCGTGGTAGCCCGTGACCGCAACGTGAATCTTCTACCCACGGGCGTGATAACCCGTCCCTACTTTGTGGTGGAGCGTGATAGCTTGAGGGGGTGTGATAACCCTGGTGGTGTGACAGCCCGATGGCGTGATGGCCCGGTGGTGTGAAAGCCGGGTGGTGGTATGGAAGCCGGGTAAAATAGGTATACAGCAGTAGAAACGGACGTGGAAATCCTACTATTAATAATGGCATGGAAGCCGGGTGGCGTCATAACCAAGTATGTTATGGGCGTGGTAGCCCTGGCCGTGATAGCCGGGAAAAAGGAATATGAATATACCAAGTACACGTGGCCATAGCGTTGCAGACACACATACCCAGAATACTACAATATGTGGTAAACATGGTACCACCATTCTCAATTCATCACAACTGCAGAACCCCCCCAAACGACCCGCTTCATCTGCTTGGACCGTTCCTTGATTGCAAGAATCTGTCAATGCTGTGAGTATATCCGACAACCCGGTCGCTGGTTTCGAGTCACGATGCGTAGTCTCTCAGTAGCTAAGCTGGCGAACTGGGTTGGAACTGTATGCTCTGTGTTCCCCTTTCTGTTTCGAACTCCTCCGTTGAGCGACCCTTTCGCAGCGAGGCGCACAAGGTTGTTTGCTCTCTCTCGTCGCCGTGTATCCCACATCATATGCATGAATGCCTACTACTGCACATGTACCTCGATACACACAGACACCCGAAGAGAAAGGTCTACCATAGACTAGACTGCTGCTGTAGTCAGGGATAGGCGGCGGGATAACGCTCACGCACCATAGCTCTCTGAATGAATGTACAATTTCCGTCTCTTTGTGTGTGATATATTATCTCTCTCTCTCCCTCCATTACAGCCTCGCATTTTGTGTATACTGGATTCCACAACGTGCCTCACAGCTTGTGGTCTCTAGGGCTGATTACAGTATCTTCCTCTTGCTGTTGTTCCGCTTGGGTCTTCACGTGAACCAGATTGCTGGGTACGGGACTTGTTTACAAGCCGCGTCTACGGCGGGCATGCTAGAGCGAGGGGTCTGCGACGAGCAGTTCAAAGCGCTCAAGCGGTGTTTCCAGCAGGCGGTAAGTCATGCAATCGAGAACTCTCAAGACGCAACTTTCGTACATCACGGTCAGCTCTTTGAAAAAACGAATGTTCATCCACAGATATGCGTCCGGGATAAATTGGCACTAAGTTCATTATGTTGCATGACCTGCGTTTCTACGATTGCCCGAGCAGCCTATCGCGATACCTCTCCTGTGGGGAACAGACTCAACAAGACGGTGTGGCGGTCATCTGGTGTATCTGACCATTACTTCTGTGCTAGGAAGGTGTACAAGGATGTAGATGTTGAGGGTTGTCAGTTGGCCCCGCGTGGTCATTCCCAGCGCTGACACCGTTAGTTCATGCTCTCACTGCTGTCGTGTCGGAAGGTTGCTGCGGACACCCCACTTTGAGTAGACGGTGGGCTTGACCATTGTCCTCCTTGCGGCAGCAGCATCAAACGTGCTAACAAATTGGACGGGACCACCGGCCGCAGGAGGAGGCCTCATATCAGCACTGAAAACAAGAAACACTTGGCACGCTGTTCAGTGCCCTCAACTGATCCAAGACCCTTCGCAGTCGCGTGGCCGAGAAGAGCTATTGGGGGTTGGGTGCCTCCCTTGAGAAGCACATATTTCCTTTCGAAGACCGTTGGGGGAAGTGTCGTTCACCTTTTGTTGTCAGCATGGCGCAGAGGCACTCCACCATCAATATCCAATGACATGATCTATCGATGTTGCCACGCAGACACGCAAACCACGCGCTAACGATGCTGGACGCCAACTGCAACGAACAAGCGCACTGACGACACGTTCCGCAGCCCCGCCGCGCCGCCGCTACTGCTACAACACCATGTCCCAACCCCATGATTGTTTTCCCGGATTTCGTGCAGGCAAAGGGCTTGAAGGCCACTCGATGAGAACGGGAGCCTGAGTGGGATTTTGACGTGTGTCGCTGTTGTTGCTCCTTTGCGGTGAACTAGCAGAAGAAAAGCGGTCTGCCAATATTAAGCCGGGACGCTCGATGTTGCCACTAGCCATCAAGAGGCAACAGCAGTAGCAACATCTGGTTTCGGTTGCACAGGTGTTGGTAACACGCTTGGCTGGGACCTGAGGAAGTGCCTACAACAAGGGAATCATGTTGGATTTCCCGTACATAGTGCTCTTCGTTTCTTTCTTACCTATTGGTGTAGGGTTTTCCTACTCGGGCCACAAGCGCAGGTCCGTTGGATGCCTTTGCCGTGATTGCTTCTACGGGGATTTAATGTTTGTTGCGGGAAGTCGGGCTGTGATGCGCACACACATGACGTCTACGTTTGGTGCTGTTGACTGAGTTCATCGCAGCGGGCAACTGCGGGAGCAGGCACATGAGAGTAGAGAAAAAGCTGGTATATTCGACGACACTGTATCAAACCTGGTTGGTATCTAGTGCTCGAAACGCTTCGGTGCCGCGCACGCTGTTCGGTATGTATCTTCGGCGTCTGCCCTATGCTCACCCCATGCACCTTGGAGTACGGCTTGTTTGATATTCACACCGATGCCAGTTTGACAGTCCTTCGTTTCTGTGTTTTGGCGATTTTTGCTGGCAAGTCGGCTTGACCTATGCAAAACTCGAGCAGCGCTCTGTTTCTGGTCACACACCTCGTCAGAGGACAGGGGAGGGGGGGGGGGGGGGGTACTCATAGTCGTGTATGCCGTAGTCGTTAGACCATTGACCTCGCATCCCTACAAAGCCGGGACGGAGCACGCCGGGTTCTCACCGGACCAGGCTCTCACATCACCAAGCGCGAAGCGCCGTGAGATATTCGGCGAGTCGCATGAAGGGTGCGCTGCATCCTGCTAAGGGTGTTCGGCACGTACTTCCTTGCGTAGGTATGACAGCCGCGTATGACTTCATTTATTTTCTGGTGCTTTCACTTCCAGAGACAGTTATAAGCACTGTAACTGCCTCGAGGGTGCTTGACCATTTTAACACAACGTGGTGCGATCATCCCCCTTGCGCGGAGTGAGGGTTCTCGACCCCGCACAACATGATCTACTCGACCACCATTATGGCTACCGCCATAAAAAAAAAACAGAGGTAAAACTAAACGGTAACCTGGCCGGAGGACAGGGGGGTGGCGAAAACAAACTAGCAGCATTGATTGCAGCGCTGCCAGTGTCCTGCGGTGCCTTGCGCTGTCATCATCGGCGCCGCCATCGCAGCCCCGCCTCGACCGCTTCGCCACGCCCTTCCCTCGACGGCGGTGTGCTTATTATTAGCACCGACCGCGCTGGCTAACGGACTGACCAATGGAAAGAAGTCAGTCTCTGAGCGACTGCGGATATGTTCGAGAACGTTTCTACCAAAAAAAGTACAACTTGGTCTGCGAAAATCACTCGGCCGAATGAAAAGTCGCCATTCACCAACACACTAACCGCAAGCTTTCAGCAGAGAAGGGGTATTAGTTTCCTCTGTCGTGCACGGCTATACTACCTCACATCATTTACAGGAGAAAGCGGCGATCTCTACTGCACATTTAGTGTATCAGGATGCAGCAACGTGGACACACAGGGTCCATACAGTATGTGAACACGTTTACTCCTCCCTGAAAGAAGGTGCATCCGAGTCTCCCTATCCACTCATAACCAGCAACGGGTCGAGTGTCCACAAACATCCTTCCAATACGATCACACAAAAGTACTACTGTAAACACACATGCTTACACTCTCGATCACAGAACCGTGTATGTTAAATTACTACCTCTCTTACGGCTACAACAGCATCCAAAGTTACATACATTGTTGTAGATGAACGTGGCTCTCCGTCCTGCAAAAACGAAACCCCTCTTGCTCTGCAACTGAAGTTCCGGCCTGCTCTCTGTCTCTCTCTTCTTGTCCCTCTCTTGGGATTTAGGGAGCGACTGCAACAGCAACACTCCTCCACCACATGACCACGCGCGCTCGGGGGGAGTTCCAGACCCTAAAACAACTCTCACAATAGCAGCATCAGTATTGACACGCGTCTCTTCAGCTTTAATACCAATCATGGTACGCGCCAATATATGCAAAAAGCGCGCTTGCAACTTGGAAGGAGAAAAAGACAAGCGTATCTCACGCCCTTACATCCTAAGCGCGTACCCAGACAATTGAGGCTACCCGCATCGCAACCGACAAAACATGCCCCCCTTCTTGACACCAACATCGACAAACTATCACGACTCTACCAAGTATTTAATCTCTACCAAGCAAGCAATAACGAGCAAATGGCATGCACACCAACGATCAAGCGCCCGCCCGCCTCTCTCGCTGTCGTCCTGTCGTGCCACGCAACAAACTCGGCGGGAATGCCCTGGACATAGGAGATGGACACCGGGCGTGAAAAAACAATCACCAACAACCGGCTAGGAGGCGCGATTCTCCAAAAAGAAACAGTTATGTCCGCTTTGTTCCAGCGCCGATGAATCGGTTGAAAAACGCCTCCATTCTATCCTATCTGAGATACCCCCTGTTTCTTGTGTTGACAACCGTAACCGATAGACGCCTACCGGGTTCCCAAATAACCCGGGTACAACCGTTTAGTTCCCGGAAGGGCATGGACACCCACGCCACCTACAGCCAGCACGGCTGTAAAACTCGTCCCTTTTCACAAAAGACACACACACACACCACCGTTCGGCATCCAACACTATTATTAACAGATACCAGCAGATTGATTACTCCTCTTCATCTCCTCGCGATCATCGAGTACAAGCTTCCCAGCCGCTCGTGGTCGTCCACCACCACGGCAGGCGGCAAAGGGAGGGACTGGTTCTTCACCATCCCCGGGTTTCCATCTCCCCAGCCACCGCGACTCCACCACCCCAGAGCCTCGGCACGTCCCGACGGTGCTCCGCCCACGGCGTACCCTACGGCTAGACCTTTGAGGGCGTACCCGAAGCTGTCGTCGCGCGATAACACCGCCCCCGGCCCCATCGTACTTCGGCGGTTCCCTTCACCTAGGCGCGGCGAAGCGGCCATACCCGTCCCCGCCGCTGCTACGGTACCGGGCGCGGGGGAAAGAGAGGGGGACGAGCGCGTGCCCAAGCCGACCCTAGGGCTCGAGACACCATCATCGCTTCCCTCTGGATGGGGCGCCGCGAGATCATCATCCCCGGGGGGGGTCCGATCGGAGGCCAGCGCTGCTGCCGCTGATCCTTGTGCGGGTGGTTCACCAAGAGTCTTATCGAGAATGAGGCGTTCTTCCAAACGCCCCCGAAGGTCGGCCACCTTGACGGAACGATACACGTTGCGCCGCGGTTGTTCGGGACACAGCAAGCACCAACGAGGTAGATAAGATTAGAACAAAGTTGTGACCGACATGCGGGTGCCTCCTGAACCTAGAAATGCGAATATTGGGGGCAGTCAAGTCGCCTTTCCCAACGTCTGGAACATCTGTGCGTCCATCTGCACCAGCGTCACTGGCAACCTCAACTGTTAACCTATGCCTCCCTCGATTTGCATTCTGTAAAAATGCATTTTTCATGGCTTGCGCTTCCAGCTGTCGAGGCAAAGCAATCAATGTTCATTCCTACCAATGAAGAGGTGGTTCGCAGTAGCCTGTTTGCATCAAATGTTTTGCAAGCAGCCATCGCCGGTAGTACGTTCATACGCTCTCTGATCCAAATCGCACCTCTTGTTCCCGTTGCCGCAAGCGGGAGTCTCGGTCCTTGACTTGCGCCGTGAGCCTTTGCACCTGCTCGTCTCTTTCTCGCAGGCGTTGCTCGAGTGCCTGTTATTGTGTCAATGGTTGTGGTTTTGTTGATATCATCATCGTCCTTGAACAAGCAGGAGCAGTGGGGAAGGCACAAGACTCAGTCCCCGTCATAGCTGAATCTACGTCAAACGATTTTAGGAACGGCCTGTCTCCCAATCAGGAGAACCATGCGTCACATGGTACAAGAACGTCCGAGCCGAAAAAAAATAGCACCGGCTGCCTACGAACAGTAGCGCCCCCCTCAACCCCCCCCCCGGTTTTTGCCATCGGGGTGGGGTTTTCGTCGCTTGGCAACGACGTTGTAAACCAAGCCTATTCACTTCGTGAACTCGGCAACCAGGGTACCGTTTTTTTTCTACCTCTGTTTTTTTGGCGGTAACCATAATGGTGGTCGAGTAGATCATGTTGTGCGGGGTCGAGAACCCTCACTCCGCGCAAGGGGGATGATCGCACCACGTTGTGTTAAAATGATCAGGCATCCTCGAGGCAGTTACACAGTACTTACAACTGTCTCTGGAAGTGGGGCACCAGAAAGTGAATTAAGTCATACGCAGCTGTCATACCTACGCAAGGAAGTAAGCACAAGATGCCGAACAGCAGGATGCAGCGCACCCTTCATGCGACTCGCCGAATACCTCACGGCGGTTCGCGCTTGGTGATGTGAGAGCCTGGTCCGGTGAGAACCCGGCGTGCTCCGTCCCGACTTTATAGGGATGCGAGGCCAATGGTCTAATGACTACGGCATGCACGACTATGAGTACCCCCCCCCCCCCTGCGCTCCGCATGGGCTTTGAACACCGTGCGTGCTCGAAGGTTACCGCCGGACCGAAAAACGCCACAGGTTTCCAGAGGCTTGCATTCAGGCTTAAGAAAACAAAAAAACGCACCTGGACCAGAGCGCCTAAGCTCTCCGACTTTGCGCGCTCCGCCACCACGGCATCTCGCGCTCGCGCATCCGCTTCCTCCAGCGCTCGCCTTAGCGCCGCCCTCCCTTCGACACTGCCGGTCTTTGCCGACGCCGCCGAGAGGGTCAGGTCTTTCACACGCCTCCGAAGGTCGTCGAGCTCCGCCGGCAACTTTTTTTCCGGACTCACGACAAACGCGGCAGGTGATGACGGCGACACTCGCGGGCCGTCATTTCCACCCTCCACCGCCGGGGTTGTCGCCGCCGCCGCCGCCGTTGCTCGGACGGTGTTGCTACCGTCGCGATTGATATCCTTCGCGGGGTGCGCGCGCGACCGCGAGTCGCCGCCGCCGCTACAGTCGACGGCAGCGGCGAGGAAGCCCACGACCCCGCCCCAACCACCGCCGTTCGACGACCTCCACCCCCTGCCGCCGCCCGCGGCGGCGGTGCCGGTATCGGTTGATCTCGGCCTCTTCGTCGGAGTCCGCAACGCCGTCGTGTCCACCACCACCGCTCCCTCCTCCTCCTCGGTGGACGGCTTTGCCGCGGAATCGCGCCGGGGCGGTGGTGTCCGACCATTCTCTTGGTGATGCCCGTGGCCGTTCTCCCCTTTGTCTTGTGGAGTGCCGTTCGCCACGGCGGTGGCAGCACCACCGCTGGCATTGTCCGTAGAAACGGCGCGAGGCTTGCCGCGGGCGAGGGAAGCAGACAGGGACGGCTGGCCTCCTCGAGCCGTGTCCGCGTGGCGTCTGGACCTCGATGACGACGTCCTGCCAGACCGACTGGAGCTCCCGCGTGTGACCCTTGCCAGTGCCTGCTTGATCGCCCGCCTGTCGCTGTCCGTGACCTGTCGAGGGCGAGAGCGGGACATAAGAGGGCGCACTGTTCTTCGTAAGCGTTGCTCTGGCGTCTGCTACCGCCCCTCCCGACAGAACCGACTGATATACTTTTCTTGAGAAAAAAAAAGTATCAAAGCGCGTGTGCGTGTCCGTGCTTTCGCAACCCGGCATTGGCCGCGCTGGCAGGATACGTGTGGGTGTTTTCGTGCCACGTAACCTGGGCGCCGGTTAACAAGACTTTCGGTCACGTTTGACGCACAAGCCGGGGTCACACAAGGAGGAAGGTTAACACAGGAGCTTTCTTTCTGTCTCGACCGATGAAACACCGTCACCACAACACCAACAACAACAACAACAACAACAACAACAACAACAACAACAGCAACAACAACAACAACAACAACAACAACAACAACAACACGCACCTCAGGATCAAACTTGTCGCCAGGCCTATCCCCCCGGTTATCCTCTGCCTTCGGGTTTGCGCCATTCTGTAGCAGGAGGGCCACGACTTCCGGATGGCCCGAGTGCGTGGCGTGGTGAAGAGCCGTCCCTTTGCCCTGTGTTTTGAGCGGTGTGGGCCAGAACCGAAGAAGCGGTAAGGCCACAAGCAACGACCGTGCTGAAGTCGACTGCAGCTGCATTTCGTGCCGGCCTGCAGTTGGCGAACCAACTCCATTACACCGGTGAGTGCGAGTAAATCCTAGGCGCATAACTGAGTTAAATTGTTCGTGTCTCAAGCCCATCCCCCCGCCCCTGAGCTTGATCTGAAAGACGTACTAAATACGTGAGTGCTCCTCTCAAAGAAGCATGGGGCCATAGAGCCAAGGCAATGCCACATCTTGGAAAGAGACGATTGCACAGATACAGCAAAGCTCCGCCGTATGTCGGCGCGTCGAAACTGTGGATACCATCAACAACAACAGCAGCAGCAGCAGCAGCAGCAGCGGCAGCGGCAGCGGCAGCGGCAGCGGCAGCAACAGAAGGAACCTTAATCTTCCCGTGCACGCTGCTTACCTTAGTTTTCGCGGAAATATTCGCCCCGCGCTCCAGCAGAAGCCGAACGACCGGCGCGTTACCCCCCATGCACCCCCACACAAGGGGGGTACCGTCGGTACAGGTTCGAGATTCCACGTCACCCCCGCGCTCTAGGAGGAGCGACAGGGCATCGGACCTTCCTCGCTGACACGGCAACACGGCAGGAGACCGCGCGAGGGGTGGAGTGAGAAACTAGAGGAGGTTTGGGGTATTTCGTTGGACCACGGCTCATGCATCGCTTTCGACATGGAGCGTTGATCCTATTCCTCCGACGAGGAGATGCAGCCGACATTCACTCGCTCTTCGCGTGACTCCGTGTCACTTGCTTCATGGGGAATAGTTCGCTCATCTTCCTTCATACAACCTCTCGCCCTCTGTGCATCATTTGTCTTGCAATTAAGGGACACGGACAGTATTGTAAAAGGAGGGCGTCTGTGTGTTATTAGTTTTTGAGTTTTTCGTTTTGGAGAGGACAAATGTGACGGTCACCAATCGGGATAACACACAAAAATACAAACAAGAGGCGATTCTGTTCGTGGTGAGTGGGTTTGGGGTACTGTATCCTTGGAACGCCAATGCCCGATGTTAAAACACAATTTCGAAACCCACCCCTTTTATCGTCCGTCACATGAGCCCAAGAAGGGCGGCGGAAGAAAAAGCACACCGCAGATGCCGGGAACACAAATCACAACGCACCCCGATAAACAGCGTCACCGACGACCAAACCTGGTACATACAGTCGTAAGCCCTCTATAGGCGGGAATGCGCCGGACCGATTCACCCGCCCTACGCAGGGCACCCGCACTATTGAATGCATGAAGCGTCACCCGTCTTGAATATTCTATCCGTGCCAGCCAATTTCACCCGCCCTATAGCGGGCACCCGCCTTCTATAACCCGCCTTCCCGCCCGATAGAGGGCCTACGACTGTACCATGATATATCAGACGGGGCCGAGAAGGAAAAAATATTTGAAATGTCCCCCCTTGGCAGCCCCCCCCTTGATTCCACGTCACCTCGAGCGGAGGGGTGACCAAAAACACCCGCACACCCCGCAAAACACGAATTTCTGCTCCCCAGCCCTCCACCTTCAACCTTCCCTCTAAACCAAAAAAAAAACTTTGCAACAACCAACAACAAGTTCTCACCAGGGCGGCCCAATGCACGGGCGCGGCGCCGTACTTCTCATCCTTCTTCTCGGGGTCCCCCCCGGCGTCCAAGTAGCGCTTCACCACGGCCAAGTCTCCCCGCTCCACCGCCCGGTGGACATCTATCCGCCTCCACGCCATACTCCGGTTGTCGGTGGTCGCACGCGTGTGGAATGTATGATACCAGGATTGCAAACAGGTGCAAGTTGTTGGTCACGTCGCTGTCCTCTTATCCCGGGGGCACCGTGTTAGACCCCCCCCCCTCCCACGACCCGCGCTCCCCAAGATATGGATGGAGCCACGCACGGCCTGTCTAGCGCCACGGATCACGGAGCCCCTGCTGCGGTGACCCCCTGTACGGTTTGCGGGTAACGCGGATATCTCAAATGTGTGAAGACGGAACAGCCGTAACAGCAGTAGTATGCGTAGCAGTGTTGACGGAGTTTGGGAAGTATCGTGTAGAGAGTGAATCGATAGGGGGAAAGGACGTATGTCAGCAGGTCAGCACGCCCAGTACCTAACTTGGCCTGGTGCTGGGGTCTGGGAAGTATCGGGCAGGGGCGGGCCGGGAGGGAGATGGGCCTGATGAAGGCTTGGGGCATTTGGATGAGTCTGGGTGTGTGGGAAGCTAAATTACGCGCACCCTCGGGGCAACATCGCACATCACTGCTGCCCGCCGCCCAACCCCCCCCGGACAGACTTGGGCGCAAATTTTCTTCACATACCACACAAAAGAACAACCCTGCCTCGCGGGCAACACGTGGATTCATCTCATCAAGGCTAGAAAGCTTAGGCTGGACTCGCTCAAGAAAAACGGCAACCAAAGGACGCTGACAAAGGCAGGCCTGGATCTTGTCTTCAGAGACTATTTCCAAGGCAAAAAGACGAACGAATTAGTTGGGCTCTCTTCGTACATAGCGATTGTATCGCAATTCCAAGGTAATATCTAGGATGCGCATATTTTTTAAGCGGTTGTTTGTTTTTTTTTTGTTTGTTTCTCTCCCATCATTGGACTCTGCCGTCTGCCCCTCTGGCCCCTATCCTCCACTTCTACTGGCTAGACGACCCAACCGGGGTCACATAGGAGGGGGGGGTTGGACCCCCCTCCTGCGGTTCATGCTTGAGGTATTTTTATCGCGAGAAGGGTACAGCAATCCCTTCCCTCGCGACTTACGAAGTCGATTATGGTTTACCAACAAACGAGCTTTGCAGCGCGTCGCTTTCATCCTAGACCAGGATTTATTTAGTGAGAAAAAAACTCTCCCTGCCGGGACTCGAACCCATGACCTGGCCCTTAGCAGGCTGCGAGGCTACCCACTAGACCGCCGGGGCGACCAGTTGTGTGTTGTATGGGGGCGGTTGTGTCATTGAAGGAAGAAAAACCCTCGTTTCCGAGAAGCCGCGGGAGGATTCTTTGCGTTGCCAGCACGACCACTGGCGTAAATACACTGACATTTTTCGCCCGTGTTGTCTTAAAGTAGGGGGCGGGCGGCAAGATCCATCTGCACCCGGGGAAGGTGATGCATTACGTCACGTTCGGCAAACGACACAGGCGCGGCAGCCTCAAAACGCTACACAATACAGCAGTCTACATATATTGATAGGCTGTGTAACGCAACAAAAACATTGTTCGAAGTATGCATACGTGCGCCGGTTGTGGCTACAGCCTTTCTCTGCTGCACTGAATGCAGTAGAAACGCGTTCGTCCTATCGCCATGCAATATGCCGACGAAACCGGCACCAATCAAAACAGCGACACCATTTCCCTCGAGGGCGACGCATGTACCATCGACACGCAGCCGGGAGGAAGCCCTTGTTGCAGGACCCCTAGTCTACACATGTTACGTAGACTCATCGCACATGGCTCTTTTCGAATTCGGACAGTTCTTCTTGGGTGAAAAGTCTACATACACCTTTCGTTTCAACACGTCTGATCTAGTCGCAACGGCATCTGTGAGCGTGCGTACTTTATCGCCGGTTCAGTGGGTGCGCTGGAAGCAAAAGTTGTCATTCAGGACCTTGCTGTACCATGACAGGCGGACAAACTCTTCGTCAACCGCTGCATTGTGCCGCGCAGAGATTGTGGCCAAGCGAGATGCGCACGGCGCAAAAGGGGGGGGCTCACCACACAACACGTCGCACACACTCCCTGTCAGATACAATGAGGCGTGGGCCATGAACAGGGTGTTAACTGACCGGCCGAAGGTGTTACGGCGCCGAATGTGATACGGTGCGCTAGCAGGGAGAAACCCAGACCAGACCCCGGCAAGCGGACCTCTACCGCCAGCTAGGAGCAATTGATTGACTCATTGTGCGCTTAATACACAACATCACGAAATCTGGCAACCGCACAGCAGTAATGCAGGGATCCTAACGACGATGGGATTCCTACAGGGCAATGAACAGTAGTAGAGCGTTGGAGGCAACGTGAGAATGTAACCCCCACCCAGGCAATGTGCAAAGTGTCATGTCCTCCTCGAAGCACTATCCGAAAATTCAAACCTACTGTAAACTGCTGATTGCTTCGTAACACAACCGCACTTTACTCGATGCCGCTCTCGAGCGCACGACCCGAGTCCCCTGTGCTCACCTCCCTCTGTGCAACAACAAGACAACAAGCCCCTCTTCCTCCAGCACCGCTGGCTGTATGCTGTGTGTGGAGGTTGAACGGCTGAAGACGGGGCACCATTTTTTTTTTATAGACACAATAGTGCCTACCACCCCCCTCCTCCGCTGCTTTTGACCCCCCCCGTGCCCGCTGTTGCTGTGTTGGTTGGGCAAGTGCTGCCGCAGGCACTGCTGCTGCTGCAGAAGCACCACAGCACAGAGTCACAGCGGTGTCAACGGGATCACCTCCCTCGAAGGTCACTGCAGGGCGAGCATAACAGGCGAATCGCCAAAGTTCGGCGGCCAATATGGGTATCCTGGAGCGCATCAAGGAGATTGAGCAAGAGATGGACAAGACCCAGAGGAACAAGGCGACCGAGGGGCACCTGGGAATGCTCAAGGCCCGTCTCGCCAAGCTCCGGTCAGAGCTTCTCACGCCCTCTTCTGGTGGGGGCGGCGGCCAGGTGACTTCCCTGAGTGTCTTTGCGTGTTGCTAAGTGCGCTGGTACTGCTGTGTGTGCTCACGAGAAGATGGCCATTACAACATTGGCGGCGCACTCTTCACGTGTACATTCAGCGGTGCGGCAGTCCACCACACGCAGGCAGTGTCTGGGCGGCACGTGCGAAACAAAGCAAGCATGATCACCTGCCGCATTTATATGTACATGTGTGCGCACGCTGCTCCGAGGAATGACACCGTCCGTCATGGCCACATAACATCACTGAGAGCAGACAGCAGCAGCAGCAGGTTTGTGCTGCCGGCGGTGCTGCACATGGGAGCAGGTACTGCTGTAGAACACGGGGCGAACATGCACGGTCGCGACTCGCATTCAGCACCCATGGCCACATGAGCTGAATGCTCGGGCGACTTACTCGTTCGGCAGCTCGACATCCAATACCCATGCCACAGCACCAAATACATCTCGGTGACCCCCTGTCACCAATCTCCCGAACCACCGTTGCCGTTGCCGCTGGGAAAACACGCCACCCAAGGGTTTCGATGTGGCGAGAAGCGGGGACGGGCGCGTCGCGATGATCGGGTTCCCCAGCGTCGGAAAGTCGTCGCTCCTGAGCGAGCTGACGGAGACAGAATCTGTGGCGGCGGGGTACGAGTTCACGACGCTTACATGCATCCCCGGAAACGTGAGCTCACGGTTGACAAAAGACGTATTCATAGAAGTAATAGTCTAAGTATCACGAACGGGGTGCGTTTTGGTAGACGAAGTGGAGGACACAGCTGTAGTCGAGCGTGTGGATGGTCATGCTTCTGTAGAGCCTGGTGCTGAGGTCATTATTCCGAGGGGTAAAGGTCGGCTTGGTGGAACAAGGCTACTTTTGTCTTTGACCGACCCGTATACAGGTCTTCTTCGACACGCTTCGGGTGCCGACGTTGGCAAGGCGTTGTCGAGACCGTCTGTCTTACGCCTTCCAAATGGGGCCGTTGCAGGGTGTTTCTTGCAGGATGCAAAACAGAGAGAAGGCTTGGATTTCAGTCACGTCGGTCTGCATACGAAGGGGCCCGTAGCATCGTTTTTCTGGTAGTATGCAACAGAGAGAAAACGTGGGTGTCCGCCTAGAATACGCGGAGCTGTTGTGCGCATCGTACGCCATCGTTGCTTGTTCACTGAAATTGACTACACAAGCCTTTCGCAAAACTCCGCATGGCTCTTCGCACGCGGTACTACTAGCGAGCGCCTAATGAGAAATCGACGTGCGCCGCCGGGGGTTTGAACAGCAGAAAGGGGAGAGCCCACGAACGACAACACTCGACCCCTGACGGTATACGCCCTTACTCCCTCACCGCTGTGCCCCCACCTGTTGACAGATCTACTACAACGACACACGGATCCAGCTGCTGGATTTGCCGGGTATCATCGAGGGCGCCGCTTACGGGAAGGGCAGGGGTCGAGAGGTGAGGTGAATGTTCGACAACGCAACATTGGCACCCTCCGGGCTTTTACGTTTTGCAGGGGAGGTGCTCTTGACTCTTTTGTTTTCGTCCCGTCCATTCCGCGCGCCAGTTTTTTCACCTTCGGTGTGTGTTTGACGCTGCACCAGCCGGGGTGACGAAGGAGGGATTCTCCACTTCACGTTCTGCGGTGCTCGTCTTCAAATTTTGTGCGCGAGGCTGGTTTTGATTGTGGGTTTCTGGGGCATGCACCCTTCTGGATGCGAGCGCTTTTGCCTGAGCGACCTGTGCATGTCTGCAGTGCCCGCGGGTGCCAGGAAACAAGGGCGCCGAAGTGTGGACAAAGGCTGAGTCGGGTCTCTGTTTCTGAGTTCTGTTTCGGCCGTTGGTGCGTGTACGATCTGTTTTTGTCAGCTTTTCGTCACGCCTGATGCGTGGTGCGCCGCTAGCAGCGCGTGGCAACAGACGCCACCGTCCTCCCGAAGCTATCGGCGCGCTCCAGTCATACAACACCCGGCCGGCTGCATCTGTGCATCTGTGCATCTGTCGCGAATAAGTGACGATCTCGATTATGTTTCTCTTTCTGCTCTCTACGTTGGCACTGGTGGCATGTATCTCCGCTTTTTGTAGACTGGTACTACCATACTCTAGATGACCCGCGTCGTTTGTGTATGCTACGTTCGCCGTGGCCCCGAACCTGCCTTTCGAAGATTTCTTGACTTGTGGCTAGACGTAGTTATCAGAAGACACGGCCCACGAATCAAATGCGACATCAACGACCGCAAAAACAACAGCCACGAAGCAATAGCCGATGACAACGACACCACCACCACCAACAACAACAACAACAACAACAACAACAACAACAACGACAACGCTGGAACCACAGGTTATCGCAGTGGCAAGGTCCTCGGACTTGATCTTGATAGTGCTGGACGGTGCCAAGGAGGGCGTCAACCAGCACCGGAAGATCTTAGAGAGGGAGCTGGAGACGGTGGGTCTAAGGCTCAACAAGACCCCGCCGAACGTGTACTACAGGTAACGGCGCCGCGAGCATCTTCGCGTTCACCTCTGATCCAGTAGCATTGGCGAGGGGTGTTAAGCTTGGCTATTGTAAGGGCTGACGTGTTGGAGGTTAGGGTTACGAACCAAAGTTGGTTTTAGTAGGGACTGCAGGGTTGGGGTTTGGGGGCAGTAGACTTCGCTGGATTTAAGTAAACACGTTGGATAAGACATGCAATCAGGGAAGTTGGGCTAGGGTTAGGGTTAGGATAGGGTTTGCATGGCCTCTCCATGTTGTATTTACTCATCTTAGTTTCTCGCAAAGGCGGTCGGTTGCGGGTAAGGGAAACGAATCCCTCTTCTCTATTTGACATATTTGACATATATCGCCTACTATCGTTGCGAAGGCTATCCACCTGATCCATAACACCGCCGCAGTTCTCCTTAACACGTGCGGAGGCGGGGTGGAGGGGGGTTGGAGCGCCTGTAGGGGAAGTGCTCCAGCATTGCTTTTGGCGCGCGCAGGCGGGTACTTTTTCCTGCGAGACTGTCGTTGTTCGTGCCTACATTACCTCACCCTGTCGTGTCGTGCGCATGCTGTGTGTTTCCCTCTCTCGTGATGCGTACTGCTGCCCGTTTCTATCATCGCGTTGCGGCTCAGGCTTAAGAAGGACGGGGGGGTGAAGTTCAACAGCACGATCGCGTTGACAAAGCTGGGAGATGACCCGGGAGCCACGGTGCGTTTTGTTGCCAATCTCGACTCCCACCTTTCTGCAACCTTGCGCTGCTACCGACCCCCCCCCCCCCCCCCCCCCCCCCCCCCCCCCCCCCCCCCCCCCCCCCCCCCCCCCCCCCCCCCCCCCCCCCCCCCC